ATTCCTCTCAAACTTTAAACTAATTATTAAGGGTGATTTGTGAGTCTCCAAGCATGTGTGTCCACTGCTCTATAGCTAGCATGATCCTTGGCCATTTGTTAAAAAATAACTTACTCTATGCAACCATTATACTGCTACAGAACACTAGATTTTAAAAAATACACTAGATTATGTTAACAACACTTTCTTTGATGGTAATTAACTAAGCTTGACTTACCTACCTAAATGGTTTTTTATTGCGGGAATAGCATATTATAATTAACTTCATGCATTCCTTGTATTTATTTTGTTAGCGACTCTCCAATCAGTATTGATGGTAAACAAGCATAGTAATATAGCATAATGTGTTGGGTAGAATCGCCACTAAGTAAGGAATACTTGGGGCGTGAACCTTTTTTTAAACATGGGGCGTGGACCCTCTAAATAGCACATGTGGATCAAATGTTGTGATGCATTGGTTCTTATAGTTCCAGAACAGAAACCAAGCTCCACTTCCTCACATGTTAGGGCATCACAAATAAAACTCCCAAAATTTAACTCTTCAATTTTCAGGAGTTAATCTTTTTTTGTGGAGCTAAGCAAACCATCAAACTTAACTACTCAAAAACGAAATTGCGCACAAACATCTCATACGGAACTCAAATAGAAACTAGTTTAAAGAACAGATAGTGCTTAATTATACATAATACTTCATAAATATACATCGTAATCCAAAATTAAACTTGATAAAGCTTACTTAGAGCTAAACCAAACTAAATTAAAAACTAAAACACACTAATCCTCTTCGGATTCGAGATTGATCACCGACGGCTTGCCGGAGCGCGACGCCTCGCTATTGTGGGTGTCACGCCATGGCACCGGTGCATCAACGTAGTCATTGGTGCCGATCTCGACGAAGAGAGCGTCCTGCTCTCGATCCGTCATGGCTAAGAAATGTTGAGTCACGGCTAAGCACCTCCCGCTCATTGGTGATGGAGCGCTCACAGGCGAGCTGAACCTCCATCACCTACGTGTCGGCGGAGAGCCGGGCAGCCTCCTTCCACCGCCCGATGCTTCTCCTTCTCCATGATGGCCTTCTCGTACTCACGCTCTACCTCCTCCCACAAGAGGATGTGGATGTGGTCGCGGTGACATACTCTTCCTCCATGTCTGGCTCATCCTCGGCCTTGGCATCAGCCCCTTATGCCTCGCTCTTCGCCACCTTTTCCTATACCTCCTCATCATCATCCAACCTCGACAAATCGACCGGCACGGCGATGGCTGGGAGGTGCTGGAACGAGTATGTGTACTAGTGCATAGGTAACCTCCTCTCTATGGCGATTTGGGACGGCAACGATGGTGAATCGGGCGACAGCGACGACTCGGACGACGACAATGGCCAATTGAGCGGTAGCAGCTATTTAGGGTCTAATTCTGACCGATTTAGTGAAATGTGTGGTGGCAGGGATGACTTAGAGTTTGGGGAAGGGGCAGGGATTTATAGCGTCGGGGTGAGGGCGGTCAATTGGGTGGCTCACTAGCGTTTGGGCCATTTTTTCTAGTGAGAGGAGAACATGGGAGATTGGAGGAGAATTGTGTCTTTTACTCATATTGAGCAGAAAAGGAATCTTTTGAGGTTTAACTCCGGAAATTTGTCAAGAGATATAACTATATGGCTTCTGTTAGCTAGGGTATAACTTCCCCAAAAGAAGTTTTCTTTAGGAGTTACGGATTATTTTAGGGTTCTATTAGAGATGACTTAGTGCGCTATAACCTCATTCATGATCCCAACTCTGGATCAGATTAATTTGAGTTATAAACTTTCATGACTCATGGTCCAGCTTATATACTAATTTTATATATGTTGATGCTATGGAGTCTGGAGTCGGCAGCATGAATCGAGGGGCCTACGACAACCTGACAAAGGACAAATGTGCTCAGAAAGTTTCCGGAAATGATATAAGATACATATACAGCCATCTAATTAACTTGATTTTAGGTATCGATTCGAAGTACTCACATGCAATGTTTAAGAAATCGTTAACTGGTAGCTGTTCGGTCGGTTTAGGAGTATCGATTAATCGGTGAATTGGCCTATTAACTGAATTAATCGGTCGACCATTAATTGGTAGATTGAATAGGAACTTGCCAACATATATCTAGATTTTCTTTTATGTATTATACTATACTCTCATGCTCCCAGCTATGTAGTATACCAAAACATGTTGTCATACACATATGAAAAGCATAGAGGGGAGGTAAAAATATTAATCCTATCTATTAAGGAGCGGGATGGGGCTGTAAGGGGTTACAAGCCAAAATTTTGGGCTTTGTTTGCCTACCCGTTAATGGGCTAACATGGATTAATCGGCATGGCAACTGATTAATAGTCTAACTAGCCAATTAATCGGCCTGATAAGTTAATCGATGAATAAGTTCTATTCGATTCGGCCATGCTATGAGTAATGCCTAGCTTAATAGGTGGTGTTTGATAAATAAAAATTGCATTATGTTTTTCAAGTAAGCAATCAGAGATCTAAGCAGACCATGTAAACAACGACCACTAAATATGGGAGGCTATATATAGAGCCCAACATCAAAGAAACCTGAAAAATAAATGAAAGCATGTGGTAAGTATGACCCAAGTACAAAACTCATGAGGACCACTGTTCGCCAGGTTTATTTTTGGAGGTGTGGAAGGTACTACTCATTGCTCTATCATTTTAAATTAATTATTAAGGGTAATTTGTGAATCTCGAAGCATGTGCATCCACCGTTGCACAACTACAGCATTGGAGGCACGAAGAACCTACATGAACCGTTCGTTAAAAAAATAACTCATGCTATGCAGCGGTTGTACCACTACAGAACACGATTAAGTGTTTTTATGGGTACACTAGGTTAAGTTAACAACACTATTCAATAGTTTTTTTGTGGGTATTCTTCAATAGTAATTAAGTCTAGCAATCTCCCTAAATTGCACTATATTATTTTCTGAAAAAAGGCTAGTGATTCAAATCAGGAGACCGGCCAGGCCTCCCGCAATCGCCCGCGAGTCATTTGATCGTGTCCCATCTGTGGGTTCTTGTTAACGCACGCAGCCACATGATTATATCCCCTCCTTCGTCCCGATCTCTTTGTGAAAGCCGTGAGACACTCGTTTCTCTCCTGTTTTTTTTCGTCTCTCGCCCATTTCTTCTCTCTCGCGTGCAACACCCTTTCCTTCTTCCATCCGACATCGCTGCTGGCCGTAGCTGCGAGCATGAAGGCGGGGCGCACATCAAACCGGCTGCAAATGCGAGCGGGGCGTTGCGGTGACGAGCTGCAAAGGATGAACCCACGAGCTGCGATGGTGCCCATGACATGATACAACCGACGGTGACGAGAGCTATACAACCGTCGATAACCACTGTTGGAACCTATGGGCCGTGTGCTTCGACCGGTGACGTAATAGTTGCAGCCAACATTGGTCGCGCCGCCTGCCGGTGCTGGAAAAGATGTGCAGCCAATGCCGATTGCTACAACAAGCACTCGCCCGTGCTGGAACGAGCGCATGGTGATGTTGGAGTCGGCGCGCGGCCGTGTTGGGCGACCCGGTGGGGACTGTGACCGGCAAGGCATAATACTAGGACCGGCGGCATTGATTGCTGAGACCAGCAAGGTCAATTGCTGTTACCGGCGAGGCCATTTGCTTGAACCGGTGACGTCATTTGCTGGAACCGGCAAGGTCATTGGTATAACCGGAGACGCAAAATGTTGCAACTGGCACGACATCTTGCAACCCTCCATGATGAGTTATGCTGCAACTGTCATCGTCGTTTGCTACAACTGTCAATGTAAATCGCTGCGACTAGCACGGCGACATGCTGCGAAGACAACCGGTGATGTCACTTGCTAGAATCGTAAGGTCGGTTGCTACACCTAGAGAAACAAAATGTTGTGACCGGCACGACGGCATGCTAGGACGGTGATAGGCGGATGCTGCGATAGCGAGCATGGATGTTGTGATGGCGAGCCGTGGTTGCTCGAATCGGGAGATGCTATGATGGTAGCCCACCGGATGTAGTCTCCTCACCATCCGATTCACGCCAACCGAACCCGTGTGTATTCATATATTGGTAGAGGAGGGAAACATAATCGCAGACTACTTCATTTTCAGGGTGTTTGCTCTGGCGCACAAGTTAGTAAACGTTTTGCTGGCTAGTCACGTCCTTGTATTTTTTGTGCCTCAAAAGTAGCAAAAAATAAAAACCTTTTTTTTTGCGGGTAACACAAAGTTTTTTAATCAAGAGTATTTGGCACTTGACATTTCACGTCCTTGTATTTTTTGTGCCTCAAAAGTAGAAAAAAAACACAAACCTTTTTTTTTTGCGGGTAACACAAAGTTTTTTAATCAAAAGTATTTGGCACTTGACATTTTTGTTTGCCAAATACTCCCTCCGTCCCATATGTAAGACATTATGGGACGGAAGGAGTACTTATGATCAGAATGTGAAGTCATGCCCGTTTTGTGCATTGATATATATAATATTGGACATAAATATTACCAACTCAGATCATCATGTACGTTTATCTTTTCATTTCCCCCATTCCAATAGACATTTGACATTGTTCTTTGTAATTTATGAACCGCATGTCTTCCAAGTATTTCTGCTTTCACACACTACCTTATTTGCATATATGATTACACACAATTTTTTTCCCAGGCTATCCAACAAAGACACATGATAACAGACAGTATATATGTACATCTTTGCTTCATAAACCTGACATGTTTCCCGTGCTACAAAGTTTCATCTCCGCACAGTTTCACAATACTTGAAGGGCGATAATCGACGGAACTTCGACAATACACTTTGCCCGGTTCTTCCTTATCTACCATACAAGCCCCAAGCAGAGCAATATATAGCAACTGGATGAACACAACTTGTACACTGCATTTGGACTCAGTGTTTTATTGTAAAGAATAAATTATAAATCCTTACTATATATGGACAATTCAGAGATCTCGGGCGACATGTTTACTGAGGATAGAGTGAATATGTTGCCTTTAGGTACTCTACGATCTCAGAGCTTTCGAACATTTTGACCCCCGTGTTAGGATCCTCGATATAAGGCACCTGCAAAGACAATGACACATGTCAAACGCTACTAGGCCATGCGAATGCACAGTTTTAGCAGCAACAACATAAATCACAATGCTGCAGACCTGGAAAAGGCCAAGTTTCTTGAAAATTTCCTGTCGCTTGGGGCTGCCACGTGCACAGCTGCAGCAAAAAAAAGGAGAAGTTAATTCCAATGTTGTTTGATGCTACAAAGATGTATTATGTCAACAAGATACTACGCTTATGGCATATATAAATAGTAGATGTTATGATGGCAGAGCATTTAGCTACCTATTTACAGATGCGTTGTGAAGTTTTCATTATCGAATACCTGTGTAGCAAGTGTGGCAACTCCAATTCAACAAGGGCCTCTCGTGCTATTTTACAGAAAGGAGAGCCCTGATGACAAAACATGTGCTGGTCAGGTTCTGGAACCATACGAGAACAAAAGGCAAATAATGACCTTAGATGCTATGAATAGCAGGAGAGAAGAATTAGACCTCGTATGCCCAGATCTCTATCGGCTGGGGTGGAAGCTTTGAAACAGTGTATGAAGATCCCTGCAAACAATACGGGTCAGCCCTGGTTTGAGCAAAAACTTTCAGAGCTTACATACAGTAAACATGCTTATATGATTTATTGACAATCTACCTTCCATATACGCCAAATCATAGCAAGCCCTGCTGTTATTGTCTGCAAAATAAGCCGCGGAGTTTCAGAAATTATACAACTGATTATTAACTAATAATGAACCATCATACTTAATTTAACAGTAACAAAATCATGAACATATGGCAAATAAAGATCACCTATAAGTCAAAGGTAATGTCCTTCTGAACATAGCCTATACTTTTAGAGTTACTTACCGTAAATAGACCAAGCGATAGCATAATTGGAATAGTTCCATCACCTGAAAAACAAAGACAGAGAAGGAGCTAACAGGAAGGACCCTGTCAGGAACAGGGGAAGCAAGGTCTGATAAAATAAATGATGGATACAAACCGTATGTGTCCGCAAGGTATTTTATGATGTCATCTGATTCATACATGGCAACTCCTGTGTTTGGATCCACCTGCAACATATGATTATCTTAAATGAAGATAAGTATTGAACTAATTTTGCTTTCTTTACGTAGCATCTTTTGGGCAAGATAGAAGAACATCCTATGTCTTACTAATGAATGCAAACGACTTTGCAGCAGAAGAATACAACAAGAGGACAAAACACCCCATGTCTGCTTACTAATGAATGGCAAAACACATGCAGCAGAAAACTGTAACAGAGGACATAACATACGATGTATGTTTACCAATGAATGACAAAACACATTGCATCGCAGCATAAGACTGCAACAATATAACAAAAGCCCATCTTGCCAGGAAACAAGAAGTCCAGAAATATTAATATCCCGTCTGTTCCAAAATCTAAGACGTTCTAGCTTCGTCCTAAGTCGATCTTCATTAAGTTTGACCAAAGTAATAGAAAAATACATTAACATTCACAACAGTACATCACCAAGTAAGTATATTATAAAAAAACATATTTCATAATGGATTCAATTACACTAATTTGGTGTTGTGGATTTTAGTGCACTTGTCCATAAACTTGGTCAAACATGAAGAAGATTGACTTAGCACAAACCAAGAACTTCTTACATATTGGATTTTTGGAACGGAAGGGGTATTATATAATGGTGATTCTGCTGCAATCATGCTTGTTTGACCAAATATAATTCATAAATTACGTTATGAGGATACGTAAAACTGGAACTTGTAGCAATCTCATATAACCTAAGAAACAACAGATTTGGTGAAGAATTCTTGCATACCATGTAAGGGAACTGTTTCTTTCCTCCCATCTCCAAAACCTTTGGACGAAATGTTGGCCCCTTTTGTGGACAGGGATAAAATAAAACATCAAGGTCCAAGACGGCTACCATCTCTCTCACCTGAAATTTTACATGGCAAAAACACCAAGGTTGTCCATACATGAAAAATGCCAAGTACAAGATGCAGACGTGGTAAACTAAAACGATATTCACCTTTCGACAAAATGGATAGCTGAAAGTTTTAGCCAGCATACACCAACAATTGAAGCAAAGAATAAATCAGAAGCAGAGAAAATATTAGGCCATGATATACAAAAAAGCAGGTCCAACTGTAAATATGCAGGACCATCAATTTTATCATAGTAAAGTTAGGAACCCCAATTGAAAGAAAGCCCATACCCTTCAAACTCGTATATCTCAATAGGTTTTTCTGGTCGACAGCACTGATCTATCTTTGAGGTCTCCCTCACCTTTAGACCTTAAATAAGAAACAAATGTATTTGCGTAATACTCCTTCAAATTGAAAAATAATAGACACTGAACAAGTAAAATAAAATGATCTCAGCTAGCAAAAATGGGGAATTAGAGAAATTCACCTAGAAATTCCAGCGAATATTGGTCTGCGGGTATTTTGTCAGCAGAGACTAGTGATACCGAGTATCTGCACATCGCAATGAGAAACCAACCACAAGATATGAATACAGCTCAATGTGACGCTTTATCTTCAAAATGTACATGAATTTCCAATTCGCGTGATGGTGCTGAGCTAATTTTCTCGAATTACTGACACCAAATTAACTCTTTTTTTAAGCAATCTCAAATGGACAAAAAAAAACTACACATTGCTAATTACGGAAGCGGCTCATTTGGACAGCATCAGAATCAAAGTAGAAAGAGATGAATACACCCAGATTCCACTCTGGTGCCCAATTCGGTGGGCGAAATGAAACAGATTTGAATCTTGTGAGCAGTCCCATCTGGAGAAGGATTGGAGGAGACGAACCCTTGGACGAAGAGGCCGGTGCCGAGGCGGAAAGGCACGGCGAGGGCCGCGCCGGCGACGCTTCCGAGCTGCCCATCCTTGATAGCCAAGCGCCTGGGCACCGGAGGCGTGAACCCGTCCGGCGGCGAGAACTCCGGCGGCCCGTCGGAGGTGGAGGTGGAGGCAGAGGCGGGGGCGGATCCGGGCTGCGCGGCGACCCTGAGGGTGGCTGACGCCGTCCTCCGGGTGCAGGTGGCGGCTGTGGTGGTAGGCGTGGCGCACGAGGAGAGGAGCGGCGGGAAGCGGAGCGCCGCCGCGGCCATGGCTCCGCCGCGCGGCGCGGGCGGAGCAGAGCTGGACGGTAGGTAGGTATAGCTGAGTAGGTAGGTGGCGCGAGGGGAGTGAAGCTTACTGCGTAGCCAGCTTATTATACTTTTTTTATTTTTCTGTATGTATGTATGTATGTATGTGTACACTTTTCCTCGGACGATGCATGCAGGGAGACGAAGACCTTTCTTCTTCTTTGTTGGTATGATTTGTTGCTGCTGTTCTTCTCCTTCCTCTATGCTGATGCTGGTGGAAGATCCTACTTTGTCCGGGCGGATGGCCCGGCCGCGGTGCTGGACCGGTCGGATGACTCGAGTTCTCTTCTTTTTGGAAGGGACATTTTTCGTGGTACTCAAAACCAAAAATAGCGACGACTGTTGTAGGTGTGTTGGATTGGTGTCCATGCCCTCTCAGCGCTGGTGTCAAGAAAGGAGGAACCAGCATGGAGCTAATTGTACCGTGGTCGAAAATGATGATTTGTTTGCGACTCGTTGCAGATCTTTCTGTTGCAGGGGTCTTCTCTCAAGATTCAGGGACGATGACACATGGCTCCGGAGATCTTATTGTTTTATGGTTGTTTTAGGGTATTCTAGATATTCATGGTCTTTTGTGTTTGCGTTTCAGTGTGCTTGTAAGGGCCGACTGCTTTGTATTGATTCGTGATATGAATAAAAAAATTCTAAAAAAAAAATTCCGAATAGTTTTCGTCAAAACAAATCTGTCAAAAACCAACCAGGCGACTTCTCTCTCTCATCATCTGCCTCTCCCGACTGACACATGCCCACGTGGGCCATGGCGCCCGCCCACACCCTCCCCTCAAAGCCTTATCTCTTGCGATCTTCTCCATTCATCCTCTTCCCGATTCTTTTCCCGTTTTGCCTCTCTCTCGCTCGACACGTTTTCGTCGATAGAGAAGAGAAAGTCCTCCCACAACCACTGTTGCACGGGTTGACGGCGACCACTGTTGCGCATCCCCACATAATAAGGGAAAATTTTGTTTTTGCCACTCTAATTTTTGCTCATTTTGCTTATGCCACTCTAGAATTTGGCATCTCACTTTTGCCACTCTTACCTTTTGACAATACATCACAAATGCCAGATGGAGGCTTTGTTGAGGGGGCCTCAGGACCGGATAACAGACAGAGAGGTGGTTCTCGTGGATATCGTGGTCGTGGTGGAGGCCGAGGGAGGTTTCGCCGGCCGCCTCCACCCAGGGTTGATGGCCCTACCGATGCGGCAATGGAGACTGAACAGGTTCCCCATGAGCTACCACCCCACGCGATGGAGGTGGTGAATGCGCTTGCCGATGTTGAGGTTCCTGGGACTGCGAAGGATACCGAGGTTGCTGACCGGGCTGATGTAGAGCGGGCATCCAAGTATGCTCGCAAGAAAGAGAGGATGCTTTGTACCGGTGCGGGGAGAAAGGTCATTTTATTGCAGAATGCGTGGCTCAGCTTTGTGAGTCCTGTGGAAAGCCAGCACATGCATCGGGGGAGTGCCCTGTTTTGAGGGAGCAGATTCCAGCTCTTACAGTGTACGGCGTGTACTGTGCTGAGCTGATGTTTTTTGAGTCCGCAGCTGCGAGGGAGATTCCAGTTGTTACTCAGTGTCTCACTACTGGTTTGGTGAAGATCACCCAGGGAGATGTCTCACAGGCTCAGATTGTGCAGAGGCTTCAGGAGTTGGCTCCGGGTGATTTTCAGTGGGACCTTGTCTCCGTTGAAGAAAGAGTGTTCAGAGTTGAGTTCCCTTCAGTGGAGGACTTGCAGCGCTTGCTGAGCTTTGGGATGTGTAAGGTGCCAGGTACCAATGGTATTTTGGAGTTTCACGAATGGAAGAAAGTTGAGCCTAAGGGGAAGCCTCTTACACAGGTGTGGCTGCGCTTCTCTGGGGCACCATCTGAGGCATTGGCTGATGTTCGTGTGGTGGCTAGTTTGGGTATTATGGTTGGTAAAATGGAACAGGTTGATATGGCGTTTACTCGAGCACAGGGGGTGGCCAGATTGCGAGTCAGTATTCTGGACATAGAGTACGTTCCGGACGTTGTCAATTGGACATATAGGGGAGAGTTATTTCCCCTTGAGATCGAGTTTGAGGATGCGGAGTTGTTTGCTGAGGTGGCTGCTGGTACTGATGTGGATATGCACGAAGGGGGAGATGATGCTGGTGCTTCCAGGGGATCGTCTGAGGAGGCTGGACAGGAGTCCAATGGATCGGGTCCTATAGCTCAGGAGCCCGCGAGCGGATCCGGAGTGGGAGCCGTCTCCAACTTCGTCTCGGCCTCATAACACTTTGCGGTTTGGATCCTTTCAGCCGACGTCGGCCCCTCCTCGCCTGTGGAGTGATCGGGTTGACTCTGACGATGCTTTTGAGCACTCACTCCCGGTCTTGGACTTTGGACCGGTGCTCCGGCCTACGGACAGCACCCGTGATTCGGTTGTAGGCGCGGTGGAGCCTCAGGGGTCGCCGGTGCTCCCAGGGCCATCGGTGCCCTTGTGCAGCCGGCATGAGCTCGGCTTGGTTCCTTCTCCGAGGGGAGGGGCGTCGGGGCAGGCGGCCCCGACTCCCTCTCATGCTACTTTGTCGCCTGTGTCGACACCCTTGGCGCCAGTATCCGGCGGTGGTGGTCCATCTCTGGGGCAGCTGGCCTTGGATGATGGCCACGTGGGAGCTTTGATTGTCGAGGGGTCGCCGGAGGCGCTAGGCAGGCATCCGGGGCAGGTGGCCCCAGACCCCCTAGTTTCGACGGAGGTCGAGCCAGTGGTGTACTCGGCTGCGAGGGCGAGAGCTGGGGGGACGGACTAGGGCAGGCGGCCCTGGCGCACACTCCCCCTGCCATCTCTCCCAACCTTCGGAGGTCTCCCTCGTCCAGGCCCCCTCCGAGTGCCGCTACTCGGGAGGAGGTAATTGCTTTCGGAGGGATCCCAGACCCGGTCTCCGAGGGGAGACGGATGAGCTCTCGTCTCCATGACCTTCCGGAGGTGGATGATATGCAGCAGCGGTGTGCTATGCGGGCGGCCAAGCTTCATGATGTTGAGGTCACTACCGGTATGTCAGTAAATTTATCCAATTCCATTTTGCATTTCTCTAAGGATGAGATCATTAATAATGCAAACCAAGTAGGGGTGTCGCTTGGGAATAATAATTCTGAAATTTCAAACTCGGTTAACGATCTATTAGATTTGGAAGCAGAACGGGCATTAGAAACCATTAGAAACCTAGCGGCAGTAAGACCTATGAATGATGCGGAGATTGATGCATTGGGGGTAAGAGTGCTTGACAATTTCTGTGCGGATCTTGTTCCTCCGTCTGCGGAGTCGGACGAGGAAGAACCCTGTGTGGACGATGTAGTTTTTGCACAACCGGAGCACGGTTATGGGGACCGGGTTGCGGGAAATAACATTCCTAAACGTAAGTGGAAGCGGAAGGTGTACCCTGCTTCTGCGGTATGTAGGAGTGCTAGGATTCGTACTGCCAAAAAATTCCATGATGACCTATGAAAGGAATATTCTGGAATAGCAGAGGTCTTAAGGACTTGGCTAAACGTAGGTTTCTAGCGGAGGCATCTTTAGAGCACCGGTTAGACTTCATTGCACTCTCTGAAACTGGTAGGGATAATTTTGCGCCACAGTTTCTTAATGCGCTGTCGGGAGGTGTGGATTTCGATTGGCATTGTCTTCCTCCAAGAGGGAGGTCCGGTGGCATCTTGCTTGGTGTGAGATGTGATTCCCTTGAAGTCCGGAGCATTGTTATGGGTGACTTCGCGGTCAAATTTCGAGTCCGGTCTAAAGTAGATGGGTTTAACTGGGTTCTGGTGGCGGTCTATGGGGCCGCACAACCTGAGCTTAAACCGGAATTTCTGGCCGACCTGGTTCGTATTTGTGGATCTGAGCAACTCCCCATTTTGGTTGGGGGGGGGGGATTTCAACATCATTAGGAGGAGGGATGAGAAGAATAATGATAACTTTGACGGCCGATGGTCTTTTATGTTTAACACCATCATTGAGAGTTTGGATCTGAGAGAGATCGAGCTTTCTGGTCGACAATTCACCTGGGCTAACTCTTTACCCAATCCGACATATGAGAAGTTGGATCGGGTACTAGCAAGTGCCGAATGGGAACAGAAGTTCCCCCTCGTCACGGTTCAGGCTCTCACGCGCGGGATTTCAGACCACACGCCTTTGTTTGTAGACTCAGGTGAGCCAAGGATTGTGGGAAACAAAAATACCTTCTCTTTTGAAACGGCGTGGTTTGAACGAGAAGGTTTTCTAGATCTCGTAGCCAGGGAGTGGGCTACGGATACTGGAGGAAGATCGTCTGTCGAGAGATGGCAGAATAAGATTAGGCATTTGAGGAGCTTTCTCCGGGGATGGGCAAAGCACCTAAGTGGAGTTTATAAGATTGAGAAGGACAGACTCCTGGATCTTATACAATCCCTAGATGTTAAAGCTGAATCAACAATTTTGCAGTCTGCTGAATTGACTTGTAAGCTTGATGCGGAGAAGAGGTTAAAGGAACTCCTCCGCGAAGAAGAGCTGAAGTGGGCGCTCAGAGCAAAGGTTCGCAAAGTAATCCAAGGGGATGCGAACACTCAATTCTTTCACCTTATTGCGAATGGCAAACACAGAAAGAAAAAAAATTTCCAGCTCAAGCAAGATGAAGGCACAATTGTTGGTCACGATAATCTAAAGCTTTACATCACCGAATATTATAAGCAGTTATTTGGACCGCCGGAGGATAGCGCTGTGTCTCTCGATGAGTCCAGGATTGAGGATGTGCCTCAACTAACTGCTTCTGATAATGCTATTTTGGTTGCGCCGTTTACGGAAAAGGAGGTTTTCGATGCCATCTCTCAGATGGAGAACAATAAGGCTCCCGGGCCGGATGGGTTTCCGGCGGAGTTTTATAAAAAATGCTGGCATATTATCAAGTGGGGTCTTTTACCCATGTTTCATGACCTTTTTGCTGGACGGCTTCAACTATTTCACTTGAACTT